ACGACCGAACGTCCAATATAATAACTCCATAGCGTGTATAGTCTTCTTCTTCTTCTTCTTTTTTTTCATTCCATTCTCAAAAGACAGAAAAAAAGAGAATTAATTTAAATTTTTGTTGAAAGTGACAAAAAAAATTTTTTAAGAAAAATAATATTTGCAACATTTGTCTTATTTATTGATAAAAATTTTGTACCGACATTGTTGCATCCGAACTGTTGTAGTTAAAACATTATTGGTAACAACTAAAGATTATTGGTACCATGTAATAATTGTGTTACCAAACATGGTACCAATGGTAGCAACTATTATAATGGTACCACTAAATAGATGCACCAAACATAAATACAAATTGTAAATAATGGTAACAAATAATTATGATAACAACAACGAATTGTGGTACCATTAAATAGTCCGAACTAAACAAAGTTAGCAACCATAACGTTTGTATCATTCAATAGTTGTACCAAACTTAATCGTTACTAATGGTACCAAATAATAAAAATAACAACCATAAGTAGACTATGTATTGTACCATACATTGTTCACTTTAAATTTAGTGGTACCATTAAATAGTTCAAACTAAACAATGGTAGCAATTAATATAGTGGTACCATTCAATAGTTCGAACTAAATTATGGTAGCAAATAAATTTTGTTTCCATTCAATAGTTCGAACTAAACACTGGTAGCAAATAAAATAGTGGTACCATTAAATACATCGAACTAAACACTGGTAGCAAATAAAATAGTGGTACCATTAAATACATCGAACTAAACTATGGTAGCAAGTACAATATTGGCACCAAACAAAGATGATAACAACCATAAATAGTGGTACCATCGGTACAAAACATTCTTCGGAACTGAAAATAGCGGTACCATTAAATACTTCAATCTAAACAATGGTAGCAATTAATATAGTGGTACCATTAAATAGTTGTACCATACATTGTTCACTTTAAATTTAGTGGTAACATTAATAAGTTCAAACTAAACAATGGTAGCAATTAATATAGTGGTACCATTAAATAGATCGACCTAAACTATGGTAGCAAATAAAATAGTGGTACCATTAAATACATCGAACTAAACTATGGTAGCAAGTACAATATTGGCACCAAATAATGATGATAACAACCATAAATAGTGGTACCATCGGTACCAAACATTCTTCGGAACTGAAAATAGCGGTACCATTAAATACTTCAATCTAAACAATGGTAGCAATTAATATAGTGTTACCATTAAAAAGTTGTACCATACATTGTTCACTTTAAATTTAGTGGTACCATTAATTAGTTCAAACTAAACAATGGTAGCAATTAATATAGTGGTACCATTAAATAGATCGACCTAAACTATGGTAGCAAATAAAATAGTGGTACCATTAAATACATCGAACTAAACTATGGTAGCAAGTACAATATTGGCACCAAATAATGATGATAACAACCATAAATAGTGGTACCATCGGTACCAAAAATTCTTCGGAACTGAAAATAGCGATACCATTAAATACTTCAATCTAAACAATGGTAGCAATTAATATAGTGGTACCATTAAATAGTTGTACCATACATTGTTCACTTTAAATTTACTGGTACCATTAAATAGTTCAAATTAAACAATGGTAGCAATTAATATAGTGGTACCATTAAATAGTTCGAACTAAATTATGGTAGCAAGTAAAATTCTGCTTCCATTTAATAGTTTGAAGTAAACACTGGTAGCAAAAAAAATAGTGGTACCATTAAATACATCGAAATAAACTATGATAGCAAGTACAATATTGTCACCAAATAATGATGATAACAACCATAAATAGTGGTACCATCGGTACCAAACATTCTTCGGAACTAAATTAATGGTACCATTAAATAGTTCAATTTAAACAATGGTAGCAATTAATATAGTGGTACCATTAAATAGTTGTACCAAACTTGTATAATAATCGTCACTAAACCACATAATGATGATAGCGACCATAAATAGTGGTTTAATAATTGGTACCAATTGTAGCAATACCAATACCTTCACCAATTATGCAGCAAATCAAAGAAACTGCTACCATTCAAAAATAGCAAAACTAAAAATTTTGTTACCATACAAAATCTATACTATTTACCAAATGGTTTAAATTTCTAACCAAAATGATTTGATATTAGTTAAACCATAAAATATAATAGCAACCAAAATTTCAAAACTATATAACAATATAGCAACTATTTTCCCTTTTTTTCATGTATTTTTTCTCCCCCTCCAATTGAATTTGAAATTAATTTGACGATTTAAAGTAGGAAGGGCTTGAAAGCGCCGGCGCATTCTGTTGCGATGTTTTTGCGCCGGTTGACGTACGTTACGATGGGTACCAGAGCAAAGAGAGGGTTTGCCTTAGAGCTGTTTGACTCCTCCCTCAACCCGCTCCTCCTTAACTCACGCGAGAAAACGCACCTCTTTCCCCATATCAGCACGCATGTACCATGAGATTTTACATCCTTCGATTTCAAATGAAAACACTTTTACAGGACAAAAGAGTTATCGACTCTTTCATATTTGCATCAGTCACAAAACGCGCAATATTTAAATCCACATATTTACTTTAACTTTTTTTTTTTTTTTTGTAACATTACTAGTGTTTTGATACATCCTTCGTTTAGAAAAGTGGTACAGGGTGGTTACCCCATCCACAATGCAAATAATCCACGTGTGTGTGTGTGTGTGTTCTGAACTAACATCACGTTTCGAATTTATCTTTCAAGCATACTTTATCTCTCGAGTTTTGTCGCTCGTCATTTGTCATTTAATCATATTGTCCTGATCATTTTCTCCCTCACGTGCACATATAAGGCTAATCAAAATAACTGATTTGCGATTTTATACATATAATGAATCAAAGTCGAGAAAATTATTTCCATTCTCAAGATAAAATTAATTTTTTTTTTTTTTTTTTTCGTATAAAATTTTCAAATAAGATAATATAAATTTAGATTTTTTTATTATAAAATTATTTTAATCAACGTTTAACATATATAATATTGATTCTTGTATATATATATATATATATATATAGATGACAAATTACGTAACCTGAAGTGTTTATAGTCTATAATCTAAGTTCTTTTTTTTTTTTTATTGATGGGGTGACAACAATGTGTATCGTTCATGCGAGGTGGGCGAAATTGCTTTATGACAATGTCGGCACAGATCTATCTCGCATATATATACAAACACTTTATGTATAACAACTTTGCGCAAAGATTAACTGTATTTTTTTTTTTATAGACTTTTTTTTACCCTTTTCTGTGTAAATATTTAAATTAAATATTAAATTTTCGCTTACATAAAAGAAAAATAAATAATTATAAAAAATTAATTTTTATTATATATAATTTATTATGGTTAATTATAATTTATATTTATTTACTACTAGTAAGAATAGTAATAATAATAATTTATAATTGTTGACAAAAATTTATTAAAAAAAAAAAAAATAAATAAAAAAAATAAACAAGATTTGTATTTTTGAGAATTTTGTCTGGGATATATGTTAAAAGAAGGGACAAAGTATATCGAACAACTGCGAGAAAATAAAAAAAAGGTATATATAAGTGTCAATGATACGAGGGTCGCGAGCAAAGCCAAGCGATATCTATATCGACTTTAGCAGCCAGTTCTGAGATGAAGCCAAATAAACACTTGGGGGTACCTTAGCCCGATAATGACTCAGTTCAGCCAATATTATATATATTTTTTTTAACGAGTTGTATGTACTAGAAAATCAGAGAAAAAAAAATTTTTTTTTTTACAATTTTTCCAAATGAAAAATAAATCAAAAATTCTTAATATTTGATATCGAAAATTCCTTTTTTTTTTATTTTTTCAATACAGGCTTACAACAAAAGAAAAAATACTATAATAAATAGTAAATAAAAAATAATTACAATAATAACAATAATAATAATAATAATAATAAAATAATAATAATAATAACAATAATAATAATAATAATGATAATAATAATAGTAAAAGTAATAATAATAAAAATAAATAATCTATACAAATTAAAAAATGAATAATTTACAAATGTCAAAAATTAAATTTGAAGAATTTTAATGACACCAAAAATGAATATGGGCCATTGTTCTTAAAAAAAAAAATTAAAAAAAATAAATTATAATCATCATAAAGTATATATCATCTGATTTTAAAAGTGCACGAGAACGAAACAAGTTCAGACTCCGCACTGATCGCGCGAGATAACCGTGCGGTGGGTATATATATAATGAATCATCAACGATTAAGCTAGACCACAGTCTTGTATATACAAAACATATATATACATATAAAACTCATAAACCACACTAAAAATATATGTGAAAATAAAATGATGTAGATTGATTTTTTCAAAAACGTATACTCAATGTAGTTTACGTTTAGAAATTATTTTTTTTTTCTAAACATATATGTGTGTTGAAAAATCCAATCCATACACGTATACAAGTTTATTTATTTTAGTATGTATAGAAAATAATATTATATTAATATATTATATTAGTAATAATTTAATAATTTAATAATTTAATAATTTAATAATTTAATAATTTAATAATTTAATAATTTAATAATTTAATAATTTAATAATTTAATAATTTAATAATTTAATAATTTAATAATTTAATAATTTAATAATTTAATAATTTAATAATTTAATAATTTAATAATAAAAATAATAATATATTGAAATTATTTGAATCCGTACCAAAAATTTCCAGAGTTCACTACTGGCGCAATACCGTTACCAATATCGCGCCAGTAGTTAATTTTTTGATAGGGATTTGTTTAAATTAAATATTTATGAAAACAATTAGAATTAATTTTGCAGATTAAAATTTTTAAAAAAATTTCAGAAGATGAAAAAATTAATGGAATTTCAAAATATAATGAAAAAATTTATAAAAATGAATAATAAAATTAACGAATGAAATATAACAATGTACACACACCGCCTTAGAGTGGCAAGGGCAATAGCTCCAGCCACCAGCAGCCCGAAGATCATCTCTTCCTCTTCCTCCGGCAGGAGACTCTTTGGCTTCTCCCAACAACGATACAGCTTTTTTGCATCCACTCACGCACTTCCGGTTACTCTACTGGAAGTCTTTTTTTTCAATTTTTCCTTAATCACGAATTAAAAACCTATGTCCTCACTATCCAAAAAAAAAAAAAAAAAAAAAAACCAAATTAATTACTAGATAGTTCGAGACCGCACCAGATATCTCCACATTGTCCCAGTTCAATTAACATTTCTTTCAATTTTTTATTCATAAATTTATCATCTGACAATTGAATTTTTTGACAAAACCACCCTTTTCTCATTCTTGATTTTATTAAAGGATCACCAATAATAACGAGGATAATAATAATTAATATAATTATAAATGACATTCGTAATCCGAGAAAAATGAAAAGTTTTTTTCTAGTCCAAAAATTTTTTTTTTGGAAAATCAATTTTTTAGGGATGATAATTTGAGAGGGGGGGGGTTGGTTTATTTTTGAGAGAGAAATTATTTATTTATTTTTTAAAGCACGATGAGACACGCGATTGACCATTCAGCTTGCCGATCTCGTTGTGACTGAGACACTGCTGAGTGGGTCTTACTCACTTGGTCGGGACTCACTATTCACTCACTCACTCACTCACGCCTCGGTCCCACCTCTATCTTTTTACCCGGGTACCACCACAAACTCCCCACTTAAGTTTTACCCTCACGCGTGGGGGTACGGGCTCGACCCCCGGGCCACGCGATTTCATTACATGTATCATTAAACGCACTGCGTGCTTTGCCTTCTGATATATACTTCAGATATATATTCGCAAAAGGGGTACTATCCAATCAACAATTGAATTAAAAAAAAAAAAAAAAAAAATTACTAATTTTCCAAAATAATTTTTTGACAAAAATTAAGATTTTACATACAAAAATTGTTGTTTATTTATTTTTTATTTATTTATAAATAAATAATAAAAGCAAAAATAATTAACATTGAACAATTTTTTATTTTACAATTTCAATTAGTACCAAAAATTGGTTACCAAATTCTGATAGCTTTAATAATTATTGGTATAGTTATAAATACAATAATAGCTTTAATTTATGGTAATTCTAAGCAATGGTAACTTTTATTAATTGATTATTACTTATTATTATGGTCCAATTGCTTCAATTGTTTGTTCAATTTTTAATAAGAATAATTTCAAATAATAGCTTCAATTGTTTGGTAGTTTTAATTATTCTGCTGATTTCAAAAAACTGGTTACCAAATACTGATAACTTCAATTATTGGTAGTTCTAGGCAATATAATAACAATAATTTAAGGTGGAATTATAAATAATAGTAACTTTAATTGTTGATTCAATTATTAATAATGACAATTTCGAATAATTATTTGCTTCAATTTTTGTAGTTTCAATTATTCCATTAGTTCCCAAAAAGTAGTTACCAAATGCTAATAGCTTCAATTGAAACAATTCTAAATAATAGTAACATTAATTCATTATCAGTAAATAATTATTGATAATTCTATTTTTCTAATGACAAGTTCGAAAAATTGTAGCTTCAATTTTGGTTACTATGGTACCGGTTTTGTTATGGTATCGGCTAGTATATGGTACTGATTACTATGGTACAAGTTAGTATATGGTACCGATTACTATGGTACCAGTTAGTATATGGTACGGGTTACTATGATACAGGTTTTGTTATGGTACCGGTTAGTATATGGTACCGATTACTATGGTACCGGTTATTTTATGGTACCGGTTAGTATATGGTACCAGTTACAATGGACCCGGTTACTATGGTACCGGTTACTTTGGTACCGGTTACTTTGGTACCGGTTACTATGGTACCAGTTAGTATATGGTACCGGTTATTTTATGGTACCGTTTACTATGGTACCAGTTAGTATATGGTACCGGTTATTTTATGGTACCGGTTAGTATATGGTACCGTTTACTATGGTACCAGTAAGTATATGGTACAGTTACAATGATACCGATTCGTTACTATGGTACCGGATACTATGGTACCGGTTTTGTTAAGGTATCGGTTAGCATATGGTACCGTTTACTATGGTACCAGTTAGTATATGGTACCAGTTACAATGGTACCGGATACTATGGTACCGGTTTTGTTAAGCTACCGGTTAGTATATGGTTTCCGGTTATTATGGTACCAGTTAGTATATGTTACCGGTTACTATGGTACCGGTTACTATGGTACCGGTTACTATGGTACCGGTTACTATGGTACCGTTTACTATGGTACCACTTAGTATATGATACCGGTTACTATGGTAACGTTTACTATGGTACCAGTTAGTATATGGTACCGGTTACTATGGTACCAGTTAGTATATGTTACCGGTTACTATGGTACGGGTTACTATTGTATCGATTTTTCTTATGATACCGGTTAGTATATATATGGATCCAGTTGATAAGGAAGCAGTTGCTACCGAAACGGTTGTTATGGTAACTGTTACTATGGCAACGGTTACCATGGTAACCATTCGAGTGTACGACGGACGGACGCCAATGCGAAATTAGCTTTCGGTCCTGTGTCACGAAACCCCAAAAAATTAGTGGTCTTTGGTAAGAATTTTTTTTTTACCATATATAAATTGAAGTACCAGATCGTTGAACTTAATTAACTGATTTTGAACTCAATAGTAAATCGAACATTGAAGGTGGCCGACCTACGTTATATTTGATAAACAAACAAAAGATACCAACGAAAATGACACTTTCCTTATTATTTTTATCATGATCTGCGTCTCTAATCGTTCAAAAAAAAAAAAAAAAAAAAAAAAAAAAAGAAAAGAAAAAGAAACGACACAAAATGTTTATCTTCTGCACAATCTTAATATCTTTAATACCGAACTTTTTTTTTGCGCCAAGACGATTCACTTGTTCTCATTTTTTTTTTACGATTACGATTCGCGTTAGTTTATTTCAATTTTTTCTTCTTCAGCGCACTTTGTTACAAATTTTACCGTGTGATTATGAATTATCAATAATAATAATAATAATAATAATAATAATTTTTTTTTACAACTTCCGACATAAAATGCTATATTTTATTGATATTCGAGGTCGAAAATTTATATTTACTTTTATAAAGTTATATAGAAACAAAAAAAAAAAAAAAGAAAGAAGTGTGTCGCGCGCACTATCTAACAATTATTAAGGAATGATTCTAACGCGAGTCGTAAAATTAATGATCCATTGAGCAACCGGATGTTCGTTTGGAATCTGGAGCTCCGTGTGCGATTGCGTGGAAAATCAGAGGACATTGCCTACGATACATATATATATATATATATATATATATATACTTCAAAGTTATCGAATTCTCAGAATCAATGACATTATATTATATAGAAAACAGGTAAATTTTTATCAAGAATTTTGATTTCAAAATTTATTTCATTTTATAGAAAAAAAAAATTTCTTGAATTTGAGAAACAAAAAAAAAAAATTGAATTTCACATGTCTTTGTTGTGAAAGAGAGATGAAAAATTGAAAAATTGACGTCAAATGATAAGAAAGTCATGATATTATATATTTGAGTTTCTGATAAAATAAACGATGTGCGAGCCATTGTCAATAGCTTATAATTTCGGTCATGGAATTATTTCGCATTAACATTAATATTGTCAGAAGGATATTTTCACGGAAATAACATATGTATATATATTGTAACACATTTTGCGCGAGCAATTATAAACAAAAACAATGTTATTAATACACAAAAATTGCTCAACATTTTTATGACTTTAGAAAAAAATTTCATTTTTTTTTCTTTAATTAGAATTTCGATATTACAAAATTAATATAATTGAAAACTACTATTACAACAACAATAATAATAACACAAAAACAAATAATAATAATAATAATTATATTAATAATGATAATAATATTAAAAATAATAATAATTGTAAATTGCTATCGTGCGCGAAAAAAAATTGAGAGTGCTTTTTGAATATTTATTTATTATCTAAAGCTTAGGGGGGAACAACTGTCAAAAATGGAAGAGCATCGTCCTGTATCGAAGGATTTCGCGACACACACACACACACACACAGGTATCGTACCCTGTTAAAAAGGATGAAAGATCTTTTTCTTGCTGTTTACACGATATCTCGAGTTACTCAAGAGATTTTTTATTTTTCTTTTTTTTTTTCTTTTTCTATAATCCTGTTTTTGCTTTTTAACGTGTCGAGAAGTATAATGGTTGTGCGATGGACAAATCCGGGTGGTCGAGGTCTGATGCTCCCCATCTTGAATGAATCGTCGCTTTCTATATAAGATTTGGCTATATATATATATATATATGTTCGAAATTTTATTCCACTCAATTGCACCCGCTTCTGTTTTTATCGCTATTTTTATAATCTACAAAATATATAGAATTGCGAAAATAAAATTTCGAGATAAAAAATTAGCCTCTTCAAAATAATATATAATTTTTATTTTTTTTCTCAATTGACATAGATTATATATCGAAAATGAATCATATTCAGGTTTTTTTTTATCTCAGTATATTGTCTTTATGGAGATGTTGCAAAAAAAAAAAAAAATTAATATAATTTTCGCCAAATGATATACTTGATTAGAAAAATAAGATTTTAAAATTAAAAAAACTTTTTTTTTATTCCTGCAGGTCATCAAACAAATTTGTGAATTTTCTTTTTTTTGCAGCTAAAAATTTTAATTGTTTAACATTGACAAATAAAAATTCTTTTTTTTTGAGTCTAATATTTTCGAAAATTGCAGAAGTGAAAAAAAAGGTTATTTAACATTGAAAATTACTGAACTTTTTGAAAAATTTTAAGCGGTTGAAAAATTCTGATTTAACTATTATTAATATAAAAAAATTTTTCTTTTGTAAAGAATTAAATTACGAGACATTAACATATTACCATCGAGTGACCTTTATCTTTTAAAAAAAAAAAACCGAACCTGAGCTTTGCTGGTAACTTTAGACCTTGACTCACCTTGATGGCGCCTATCCTTCAAATACACTACTTGGTGATACTCCATATCTCGATGAACAATATATATATATATATATATATATATATTCCGAATCAAGATAACATTCCAATCATACTTCCGATCTTCTTTAATCGTTCAAATTTTGATAGTAATCATTTTTAAAATTATATATATATTATTCCAATTCAAAATCGAATTGTAATCTTTTTTTTTGCGATAATTTGTATATCAGGTATATGACTAATATATAGATATTAAATAATACCATCAAGATTGAATTAATTAATTAAAGAGATTTTTATAAATCGTTTTCGTCTTCAATGACTAATAAAATTGAAAATAATGTATAACATCAGTGGCAAAAAAAAAATTGAGCTCATTAAGATAGATTACAAAATGAGAATCATGAAAAATTGTAAATAAAATTGTTTATTTTTAAATTTGATTTCAATCTTTTTTATTGTAATTTTTTTTTCTATTATTTGCAAAAGTATCGAGCTTAATGTTAAAAAAAACCATTGAAGGGCACTACAATAATAATTATTATTGTAGTGCCCTTCAATGGTTTTTTATAATTATAATTAGTGAAAATATACAGCAAAAAAAAAAAAAAAA